GTGGGTTTGCTCTGGTCCTGAGTGGCACTGACCCCTCCTGCAGGATGGGGCCCTCCCTCTGCTGTGTGTGGATGTCACTCATGGCCAGCCTACTGTGAAGTCACCATCCTGTGTCCCCTACTCCCCCAGCTCTGGGAAGTGAGGAGTGGGTTCTGGTTCCTCCACTGCCTTTTGTACTCAGCCTTGGAGGCCGTTACCCATCACAGCGGGGTCTGCCTAAGAGGTAGGGCTGCCAACACTTGGACTGGGTAGGCTGCAGATCGCTCCCCATGTGGGATCTTTGGGACTGCAGCAGACTGAAGCCAGCCCCTTGTGGTGACCTGCCCCACTGGCTGGAGGAGGAGATGTAACCAGAGCCTTCCCTGGTTGTGTGGTGGGCCCCAAGAGGGGGGCTGCTGCACAGGTCCCCAAAACAGACTGGGCCTCCAGGTGGCCTGTGGTGGTGTCAAGAGTCACTGCCATCACCTGTCACCCTGCCCAGCAGGTTGTAAACTTCAGTGAGTGGATGAATGCAGTTGCTCACCGAGGACTTGGAGTCCTGAACCTTTATTCACAGCAGAGCACAGACGTTCCAGAGCTATACATTCACTGAGGGAGCCTCGGTGGATTCGGAGAGGCTGCAGCCAGGGTTAGCACAGGTCACGCACTGTTTTACATGGCTCACAGTGCAGTACATTCACGGGGATACAGCGTCCATGTCAGAAAGGGGCTCAGATGTGGCTCACACAGTGCTTGGCACTCAGGCAGTGGGGCCAGCATTGCTCCTGCAGTGCATTCCACCCTGCTCTGCTCTCTGGGGAGTCTGTAGTCGGTATAGGTCTATAGGGGACACCAACCCAGTGTCTCCCACCAGTTAGCCCCACACCTCTGGGTGGCTTCATGTTTCCAGCATAGAGAACCTTGCTGGAGATGCTGTCCGAAAGCCATGGGTCCTACTCTGCTTCCCCAGGGCAGCCAAGTGCCTGTACAACCTGAGCCCTCGGGAGGATCGAGGGGAATGGGGGACCAGAGATTCACACACAGGGACACACACAACAGCAGCCACAGCCCTACAGATAGGGGACAGGAACAGCAAGTGTCCTTGGCCACTCATGGCTCATGTCCACCTGGAGCCACAGCCGAGGAGGCCTCAGCAGCCATGGCCCAGCTCCAACATCTGAGCCAGGGGCACGGTGGGCCTGCCCTCCACTCTGTGGCAGATCTGTACAGGGTTGAGGGCAGCACAGGGTCCTGCAGGATAGGATTAGGTCCAGATGGAGGGGTCTGTGGGGACAACCCAGGAACACTGCCTGGGGCTGACTGGGGCCTGGCTGCTACAAGGTTGGACCCTTCTGTCTGTTCAGGGTGTCGATGTAGTGGAAAATGGCCCCCAGAGCCCAGCTGGTCTCCACGTTGTCAATTTTCCGAGTCAGCTTGAAAGACAAGGGAGGGGTGAAGAGGACCTTTATGCTCTGGATAGGGAAGCTGAGCTTGGTTGCGTGGCAGGGAGCACCTCAGGGCTGCAGGGAAGGGTCACCAGGGTCTATTTCCTCACATGCCACTCCACAGGTGGGACACAGTGTCTCCAAGGCGGGCCTACCTTTAGTACTTTGTCCCCAGGAAAGCCGAACTCTCGGAGCAGCAGGCTGACGTAGGTGAGGTCCATGCAGAGGAAGGGGCTGAGGTGCAGTTGGGCTCCCAGCGTCCGGCACACTGGGGATGCCAGTTCTAGTCAGTTCCCAGGCTGGACCCTAATGCCCCACCCCCTTGGGAACCTGCCCAGCTCCTCCCTCTCCTAGGATGCACAGAAGCCTGCGTGCCTGTCCTGCTCCACTGACAGCCAAGTCCCCCAGGCCACACCCATGGACTGTGAGTGTGACCTGACTCCTCCACCATGGCCAGCTGAGGGCAGCCTGCTTGCTCTGTGGCAGAGGGGCAATGCCACGGATGCCCAGGGTCCTAGGCTGGGAGGCACATGAGAGCTTAAGGAAGCCACTTCTGTGGCAGGAGCAGGAGGAGGGGTACTGATTGTGGACAAGTGAGTATAGTCTAACACTCTGATCTGGATGCAAGGAAAGCACCTGGTGGGGCGGGGGTGAGATCTGGACAAGGTGGTGAGTGGGTGAGGGGTACCAGGTTAACCAGTGCCACTTGGGGTGCAATGTGTCACCCCTTAGCCTGGACTCCGCATGCAGGCCCTGCTTCCTCTGTGTGGTGACCATCATGAATGTGCTGGGACACCTCAGGAAGTCATTCTTGGGATCACCCAGGTAGGGGTGCAAAGGTGAAGATGCAGCACAGTTTGTTCCCAGGCAGGGAGGACATGGAGCCCTGGAGGATGGGCCTGGGTGTGGGCCCCGTGGAGACCCCAGGCTCTCTGGCTGCACCCCTGCATACTTCTGCACATTCCGCTGGGTGACAAAATCAGGAGCCAGACCCAGGGCCTGTGGGCCAGAGCCTGTCACAGCCCTGTGGGTGTTCCTGGCCCCGGAACGCACACCTCGCTTACTGTACTTAGCCGCGATCTCGAAGTCCTCGACTGTGACGCTGCCTCCCTTCTCTGAATCTGTGGGACAAGATGCAGGCATGGTCTGGTCCAACCTGAAGCTGGGGCTGGGCCCAGACAGACAGAGCCATTCGTCCTTGTGGTGCTGGGGATCAAACCAGGGCCTGATGCTAGACAAACACTTTAGCACTGAGACCTAAGCCCTGACCATTGTTTCTTTTTCCTGCAGTGCTAGGGGTTGAACCTAGGGGCTTGCACACACCAGACAAGCACTCTGGCATTAAATTACATCTCCAGCCCTTTTTATTTTTATTTGTTTTTTTTTAGGACCCAGTCTTGCTATGTATAGCCCAAGCTGGCCTCGAACTCACAGCAATTCTTCTGCCTCAGCCTCCCAAGTGGTGGGATTATAGGTGAGCACCACCACATCTGGCTTGGCTAGTATTCTAGTATCAGTTTCCCAACTGTGGAGAAAAAAATTCTGCAAGAGTGCTCTGACCTGCTGGGTGTTGGAGCAGGTGGGTGGACAGGAGGGCACTGGGAGCTGAGCCCTGGCCCATGCTGCTCTTTCAGAGCCAAGCAGGACTCTGCCAGGCAGCTGCAGTGGCTTTTCTGAACAGCTGGTCTCCAGAGCCACCCCTGGTGGGGACAGCAGGGAGCACTTGTCCCAGCCCAGGCCCGACAGGCTAAGCCGACCCAAGCCTGGCCCGGCCTGGGTGGCCCATGCATGCTGGCCATGGTCAGTGTGGCCATGGGGGTCAGGGTCCGGGGCAAGGGTGGCACATCCATTTCTTCTAGGAGGTTTTATTCAAAGCATCAATGCTCTCATCCTCATGGCCAGCAACACTTTCTGATATTCTCAACTTACTTAATTAGAAAGTTCTAGTCTTTACCCCTAAAATGCCTGCAACTCTTATACAGTATCTATGCAGTCTGAAACTCCATGCCTTGCTCCACCAGCCTTGGCCCCTGTGCTGAGAAGGAGAGGCAGCACAAGGTTACCACCGCCCAGCCAGAGGGGCTTCGAGTCCTGGATAGGGGAACCTGGGTTGGCTCAGCCAGACCTGCCTTCCAGTGGGACAGTCGGCTGCAAGTGATCGTCTATGCTTCGGGGATGTGGCACTGCCAAGTGGTGCCAAGAGCTAATGCATCTGAGGAAGAGGGGCTCAGTGCTCTGATATGGAGTGTCTGCCTCCCCTTCACCACTCACTCATTGCCCACCTGCCACAGCCCTGGTTCGGGCCCTGCTGGTCACCCTCACCTATGAGACCCACACTGGCCGCCAGGTCGTAGTAGTAGGAGAAGGCGTAGAAGTCCACGCGCCCTGCCTCTTCTGCCCTGTGTACCTTGTTTCGGAGGACTTCGGATACCCTGCTGGCACACAGCTCGTGGAGGTGCCCTGTAAGAAGGGAGCATGTGCATGAACACAGGTAGACCAGAGCCACAGACCCACTGCTCATGGGGCTTCCAGAGCGAGGGTACCTGCGAGCAGTCAGCAGGGGGAGAAGCCCAGCACCGGGGTCTGGGGCAGACCAGGCCGGTGTCGATGCCAACTGCCACCCCAGCAGGGGCCCTGCTCCCTCCTGGGCCACAGACAAGAAAATAGAAGCCACCATGTGGGTGGAGACTGGACATGGGCCCAGTGGTTAACAGGCTGCAGAGGCCAGGTGATTGCTGTGGACACCTGCAGGAAGCTTTGCCCACGCCTCGCCCAGTTGGTCAGCCACTCTGGCCCTTCTTAGTGCTGCTCAGGCCAGCACCATGCCCATTTGGACCCTCGTGCCGCCTGCCATGGCCACAGGGCTGGGCATGGGGTGCTCTGGCCCTGAGGAACTCCTGAGCAGCTGGCTCTGCTCCTCAATGCCTGGCCACAGTGGTTACCCATGGGCTCCCTCCTCCAGGGTGACACCTCAGCCCCTCAGTCCCCTCCTTGTACTTTCTCACGTGTTGCTGTCATACTCCCTGCTGTTCTGCCAAGGCCCCTGGTCAGAGGGAGCCACCTGGTTCCTAGAGGTGGACACGCCTTGTGCTGTGCGTCCAGCCTGGGCACCACACTTTGATCCTCCTCTGGGGGGAAACCCAAAGGGGCACGTGGCCCAGCAGGGTTAGGCGGAGGGCTGGGCAGCAGCTGTGCTGGGAGAAGCAGCGCCCTTCCTGCATAAGCCTGGCCTCCCATTGCAGCTAGGCTGTGGCTGTGGGCCCCACAGTGCCAGGTGCTCAGAGCCATCCTGTGGGAGCCCATGGCCTTTGGTGGGAAGTGGCAGACAGCAGCTCCAACCCAGGGCTCTGACCAGCAAGTGTAGGCTGTCTGTGCTGTTGCTGCCTGACAGGTGTATGGAAAGGCACAGGGACTGGCAGGCTGCCATGCTGACCCTTGTGGGCCACATATGGGCAGCGACCTACATACCTGCCTTCTGTCCTGAGATCCTGTACATTATTTCTGCGTGTTCCCACTGGCCTCTGAACCCGGGAGGCAGACAAGGGCTGACCAACTCCTTCCCGTCCTTGGCTGAAAGAGAGATGAGGATGAAAAAAGGGAGGGAGGAAGGAAAACCACAGTGCCACCATCAGCCAGGGACCTCCTGCAGCTGAGAGGGGCTGTGGTGGAGAATGAAGGTGCTGGGTGTGAGGAAACACATTCCCTGCTGGTGACAGAGGAACCTGACTCTGGGGACAGTCCAGGCCCAGGAGAGGAATTCTCCCGTTGGAGGCTACGCAGCCTCCTGCCTGGAAACACTGCCATGACTGTTCATGGCTTGCGTCCCTAGGGGTGACCCTATGGGGGCACTGTTACCCAGCTTCACAGATGGCCACAGGGTGAGTGACCAGCAGACTGGTGACAGGGCCAGTCAAGTGCCACCATATGCCACCATAATACAAACTGACTGTGGTCCTTGGAGTGCCAAAATGGGGGCCACAGCCAGAAATCATGGAGGCCCTGCAGCCCCAGCATTGATCTTGATCCCTCTGGCCAGGTCTTCGGTGAGCAGGAAGGGGGTGGAGGTCAGGCTGGGGCACCACAGCTGCATGGAGGGGCAGGTGCCTCCTCCTCCCTCCTGGCCCTGTGGTGAGGGCTCATATGTCCTGCTTCTTGTTAAGAGAAGCCATCAGGAAGATGCTGCCAGGACTTGAAGAAGGAGCTGAACATGTGCCAGGTGCAAACGTGCCAGGTGAATGTTCCCATACCAGCAGGACAGCCAGCCCTGGAGGGGTCAGAAGGCAAAGGCGGCCAGGGACTTCCTGGGCTCTGGGTGCCTCACACACTGGTCCAGACCTGTCAGTGCCTGTAAGAAACCCAGCTCATGCCAGGTGTGGACACAAGGCCTCAGCCCAATGCAGGGCACCAAGGGCCTTCCAGGGCCCTCATGGTTACCCAGATCTCATGCCCAGAAGCAGCCAAGCCTGCTCTATGACCTTTCACAGAGCAAAGATGAGGAGAGAAGGGAGCTCTCACAGGCTCCCCTGTGCAGCAACAGCCTCAGGGTCACCACCTCATAAACCTTCTGCTGCCAGAAGAACCAGGCTCTGTTCAGGTTGCTATGGTTAACTTAAGTGCCCCAAAGGCCTGTGTAAAGTTTGGTCCCCAGCCTGCAATGGTATTGGGAGGTAAGGCCCAGTGGGAGGAAGTTAGGTCACTGGGCACGTGCCATCAGAGGGGACAGCATGACTCTGGTCCCTGCCTCTCCTTGCTTCCTAGCTGCTGCATGCCATATGCTGCCTGGCCACAGTCCCTAAGCAGCAGGGCCAATAGGCCATAGGTAGAAAATTCCAGAGCCGGGCACTGAAACAAGTCTTTCCTCCTTGTAAGCTGATGCCTCAGGAATTCTGTCAGTGACAGGGAGCTGACTATGATGCAAGGTGGCTCCCAAGGTAGGGAATGACTGCATGGTTACTTGGGTTCCTTTAAAGTCTCTTTCAGAAGTAATTTTTGTGTCTGTGTGTGTGTGTGTGTGTGTGTGGTTCTGGGGATCAAACTCGGGACCTTGCACTTGCCAGGCAGGTGTGGTGCCACTGAGCTACATCCCCAGCCCGGAAGTGATTTCAATAGTGTCTCTTTCTAAAAAGAACTCAGAATGTACAAGGTGTGATAAAAAAATATGGTAAATGTACACATTTAAAAATTTTTATTACAATAAAGGCACATTGCCACTAACCCCCTATAAATTCTCCCCCTGGCTTTGAACACAGTCATCCCATCATCCTTGCCACTTTCTGCAGCAGTTCTGGAGTCTTCTTTCTTGAGTATCTTCAGTTGCACCATCCTGGCTGCTTCGCCATCCTGAATCAATTCAAATGTTTAGCTTCTGTGGTCATTTTAACTTTGGAAGGGCCAGAAGTTGCATGGTGCCAGATCCAGTGAATAAGGTGGATGTTTTTACAAGCCTGCCTTTCTGTTGCACAGCATTTGGTAGCAGCAAAGTATTTTTTGATCACACCTCATAAAGACACTCAGGAAAGAATTCTCCAGAGCTACTTCAGGAAGTGGCAAGAACAATGGGACATGTGCGTTCATAGGGAGGGGTAGTATTCTGAAGGGGATCAGTAGCATTGTGTGTGTCTTTACTGTAATTCTTATTTAAAATTTAAATGTTGCCAGGTATGGTTGTGGATGCCTATAATCCCAACACTCGAGAGGCTGAGGCAGGAGGATTGCCACAGATTCAAGGCCAGCCTGGACTCCATATGAGTTCAAGGCCAGCCTGAACTACATAGTGAGATCCTGTCTCCAAAAAAAAAAAAAAAAAAATTTAAATGTTCACTGTATTTTGATCACACCTCATATGGAGGTAAAACAGCCTCCTCTGTCCCTCCTGGGCCAGTCCCACATCATGGCAATTGGGGATAGAAGGCAGGTGGCTCCTCCGAGGGCGGGCAGAGCCCTGAGCAGCACACTCCACTCACCGGGTCTCCCCTCCATGCCACCCAGGATCGCCAGCCGCGCCGACATCAGTCCCAGCCCCAGGTAGCTGTGGAGACAACACCTGCCCAGGTGAGGCACGGGGACGGCTGGGCCTCCATTCACTGTGTAAGGTGGCATCATCCCAGGAGGGTGTTACAGCTTTCCTGCTCTTTTGAGGAGTCTCTGAGGCATTGTGGGACTTTACTGAGCAGCTCATGCAGGAGCCGTGACACTGCCAGGACCCCAGTTTTCATGGGGCACAAGAGGAATAGACTGAAGATGCCATGTGGCAGGCAGGTGGCTCAGAAACGTTCTGCACACCCCAAGCTTCAGCATTTCTCCCAAGCCTTCTCCACAGCATAACAGAATGAGGGGGAGGGCTTCCACGATCTGTCTAGGCCCAGATACAGGCACTGAAGGAGGCAGGAGCAGGGGCATGGGGGGGGCTGTGGCCTCCCTGACCCTGGAAACCAACCTGTGGGAATACAGCCTGTAGGTCCTGTTAAACATCTGCAGAGATGTCAGGTGGCCAGGGGGGGAGGCCTCGAACGTGCCCTGCAGAGACACCAGATTATATGTCCTGCTGTCAGAGTCCTCACCTCCTTGGGACGTTCAGAGGCAAGTACAGGGCGTTTTTTTAAAGTCCTATGCTGTAGAAGAATGGGGAGCAAGCCAGAAAAGATAAAGCACCCAAACCATTCCCTTATCAACAGTAATGCGCCCATCCTGACTGGGGTTCAGCCAGGGTCACCAGGCTCTGTCCCACTGAGATGACAAGAAGCCAGTGCAGTGAGGAGGGAGCGTTTCCTCTCCTGTGGGACCTGCATCCATGACAGTGAGGTCTCCCTGGCACTGCACAGGGCTCACGGGCACCTGGTTATTTTCTGGCTTTTGGTCCCACTCCAGATCAGATTTCTTGGGTTTTTTTTGGTACCGGGGATTGAACTTGGGTCCCTGCGCTTTCGAGGCAGCTGGTGGAACCACTGAGCTAAACCCCTGGCCCCAGATCAGACTTCTGTTATGGTTTGTTTTCCAGGCAGGAGCCACCCATGAGCACCACCCTCTGTCCATTGCCCAGGGGCTGGCAGGGCCGGTTACCTGGGCCCGTGGAAGGAAGGTGATCTGAGTGGATCCGCCGCCTAGATCCAGCATGCCCACACTGCTTCTACCTGGGCCTCGCAAGCTGCCTGGACAGCAGGAAGACAACACTGTTAGTGAGGAGGGAGGACAGGAAGGCAGAGGGAGGTGAAAAGCTGAATTCAATGGACAGAAAAACAATGCAGAGAACTAGCTCCACTGTTTACACATGTTCACAGAAAGGTGCCCAGTGTCTACAGGAAGATCAGGTGGAATCACCCATGGCTTTAACGAGGGAGCATAACACCAATTGTCTGAGACGCTGGACTTGTCCTGCCCACTGAGGAGGAGGCTGCAGCTTCAGTTCCACGAGATGGTGCTTTCTCATCTCCATTTCCATCTTCCCAGAAGAACTGAGGTGGAGGTTCCTGGCCTATCCCCTAGGATCTCTCTCCATCCCCTAAAGGGCATATTCTGCCAAGAAACTTGCTCGTATACTATGTCAGACACAGTCTTTCCCTAATTCCAGTAAAGGGATGCATGCTGAGAATAGTCTTTGAAAAATGGCTCCTCTCGGCCAGTTTCCAAGAACAGATATTTCTGTAATGGGCAAGTGGCAGGCATTTGCACTGGGTATCTGAAGATCTCAGTGTCTTCAGACACAAGAGGGAGTGAAGCAGCCCAGGTTGGGGGGGCCCTTCACGTACCCCTGTGAGCTTGCAACTGCTGCTGAGCCTGCTGTCCCCATAGCTTTCCTCTGGCCTGTGAACCCGGAGGGTTATGGACACGTGGCAGGTTGTAACTTTTGGGGTCAAGTGACACGTACCTGTCAGGAAGTTGACAGTGATCCATGCAGACACACCTGCAAGAGAGGCACAGGAGGGTCCTTGTCACCCAGGACCATCCACACAGCTCCCAGGAAATGTGTCTCTCCCTTCAGGCCTCTCCTCACCACCACTCCAAGCCTCAACACCACCCAGAGACGTGGTGGGCAGGAACAGTCCAGTGGCTTCTGGCAGGCTATTCTAGCATCACACTAAACCCTGAACACTTTACTAAAGGCCATGTCTCCCTGCAGTTCTTCATCCCAAATTCCTCTTCTGGAAGAGGAAGGAAGAGAACCTATGTTCCCTCTGCCCCATACAAACTCAATTTTTTTTTTTTTGAGACAGAGTCTCACTCTGTAATTCAGGCTGGGCTTGAACTATGTAGCCCAGGCTGGCCTCAAACTTGTGGCAATCCTCCTACCTCAGCCTCCCAAGTGCTAGGATTAGAGGCATGCGTCACTGTGCCTGGCTTTACAAACTCACTCTTAAAGTTATAATTAAAAGCATGACCCAGTGAGGAACCCAGGTGTCTTAGAATCAGCAATGCAGCTGCAATGTTCGAAATGCAGCAGCAATTGGGGTTCTCTCTATATGCTCTCCAAACTCGATCCTTTCAGAGACTTCATCTGTGCTTCGTTTGGAGTTAGCCCAGATGAGAATCTGTCTCTAATGCTGGTGCTGAAAAGACCCTCTGGGACACCTGCACTGTGAACAGACTGCAAGCTCAATCACCCATCTTCGACCAAGGAAGGAGCCCTGTGCACCGACTCCAAGCAGCAGCAGCAACAGCAGCAGCAGCAGCAGCAGCAGCAGCAGCAGCAGCAGTGGCGGCGGTGGCGGCGCATGGAGCACCTCCAGGGCCACATGTGGAGGCGCTTCCAGCCACTCTACCTTCATCAGTTCCGTTCATGATGGAAACACAGTCATCCCCTACCAGGAAAGGTGACGCCTTAAACACCTCCTTCACCTGCATGCAGAGAGATGTCTTCACCTTCAGGAATGGGAAGCCAGTGGTTTCCAGGCAGCAGATCACCAAGAGGCCACCCGCCCCCAGAGGCAATGCTCTCTCATCTTAAGCTATCCAGGCCTCAGCAAGGAGCTTCCTCAGCTACCCTGAGGGCCAGCTCAGGAACATGCCACCCTGGAGACCCTCCTGGGCTGCTGTGGGGAGTTTGTGGGCTGGGGAAGTGTGGTGCACTGGTTCCCAAAGTGCTGCCCAGCTTTGGGATGTGAGATGAAGTGTGAGAAGTTCCGCAGCAGAGCTGAGCCTGGGAATCTGGTGGGTGCCACTCCAGGGACAAGGCCAGTTTGTCCCAGCACCCAGAAACTTCAGTACCTCTGCCCCACTCCATGTCCCATGCCTCAATGAGGGACCCTGATGGACGAGCAGGTGCTGTCCTCTCATAGGGAAGTGGAGCAGGGGTCCCAAGGAGGGACACAAGGATACTGAGGCACACAGGATGGGAGCCGAGGCTGAGGGGTCTCTTGGGCAGCCACATGTTTTTTTCGAGAGTCTCATTATGTAGTTCAGGCTGGCCATAAACTCACTATGTAGCCAAGGCTGGCCTCAAACTTGGGGTAATCCTGCCTCACCCTCCTGAATGCTGGGATTATAGGAGTACGCCACCTGGCCCTGGGCAGCCACATCTGAATGCCTGACAGAAGCAGGACTCTTGTCCCATGGAGAACAGAGAAGCTCAGTACCCACAGCCCTCAACCGCATCGAGTCCGGGGGAAGGGTGCCCTTAGAACGCACAGTGCACTTTTAAATAAAGTTGTTTCTCTTCCATAATATAGATTCCCTCAGGAAAACACACACAGCCTTAAACATCAGGCAGAGGAAGACTGGAGGTGACCCAGGACTTGGGGGCTCCTGTCACTCTGCCTGCCCAACACCCCTCAGGGATGCTGTCCACCATGCAGGAGCTCCCCATGCTGAGCCCACCTTCTGCAGCAGCTTCTGAGCCTTCTCTCCGGGTAACAGGCGCAGGCCGGCAGTGGCCTTGAGGACCAGTGGGGTGGCCTTCCAGAAGTCGAACGGAATATCCTGCTTAGCAATATCCAGCAGTTCCTGGATCCCCTGAGCACTCTGCGGATGTTGTAACAGCAAAGCAAGGCCTGTCACCCCCAGCATCTGGGGTCACAAGGCTACCCTGCTCTTTTGGATTTATAACATAATTTTCTTGTCTTTTTTAAAATCAGGAGAGGACACGGACAGTATATGAGGCAGAGGGACCAGGTGAATGTGGCACCCTGGGCAATAGAATGCAGCAGGGTGAGGGCAGGTCAGGGCTTCAAGGCTGAGCTTGCCCTTTATGGCAGCTTTCATGCCTTCTTGGGTGACACTGGGTGACCTGCTGTCACTAGGCCCCACAGGGCAGCCTCAGACAGATCTGGACTCCCTGATGCCATGAAGCTGTTGCAACCAGCACAGTCTAGTTTCCTTACTAAACTCCATCCCGTGAGCAACTATGCTGAGGAACTACATCACTGCGAGGGCAATGGAGACCCTGGGGTTGGATGGGGCCATCATCAGCGTCAACATGGGTTGGAGATGGCCCAAGAGAGTATGGATTCTGAACAGTGGTTTTGCAGTGCTGCGGACGGAACCCATGGCTTCGCCCACATGAGGCACGAGCTCTACCTCTGAGTTGTACTCCTAGACCCCAGAATACAGTACCTTTTAACTTTACTTAGGTTTTAGTGAGTGCTTATTATCTTCAATCAAAGTACCCACAGCAAAAATCTACAATTAAAAGTATACTATGGGGCTGAGAGTGTAGTTCAGCAGTAAAGCATTTGCCCATCATGCATGAGGCCCTGGGTTCCATCCCTAGCACATTAAAAAAAAAAGTATTATGCAAAACCTACAAGATTAGTGTGAAAACATTAACTATACTTCCAAGTAACACATGTTTTAGGTTTGCAGTACTTGTACTTCTGAGCTGCTCCGAGCATCTAGTGGTATGGGGCCTGCATGCTGGGGAGGGGGGCACAGGAGGCTGGAACAGATCTGCTCTCGCCCCACCCCGACCATGCTCAAGGGCCCAGTGCCCCAAGCAGCACCACAGGGACACAGTTCCTCTGTCTGCCACATCCAAAGGGAAGGAGCTGACTTTAACCAATCACACAGGGAGAGGGTGAGGAGAGTCAAACAGAGGCTTTTACCTTCTCAACATCATCAGCGTAAGCAGAAAGCCCTGGCTTCAGAGCTTTGAAGGTCTCATGGGTCAAGGTGGGAGTCTCTAAGGGAAAAGAAAACATTTTTTTTAAAGGTTCATGTTATGGCTTGTAGCCACATGCCTCCCTCCCCCAAGGTCTCATGTAACATTAGGTGGCACTTTTTCAGAGATGGCTGGACCAAGAATGTGTGATTCTGGGTTAAGGGTGTGATTACTGAATCAGTCCATTGATTGGTTTGGCTTAGCTGTGGGTGTGAATACTATCTGCCATTTGGGGAATAAAGAGGGATAGAAAGAAGCTGCTATTATTGCTTGTCACTTATTGCATGTTGCTGCTGCTGTCTTCTGCTCTGTGATGCCTCTCTGCCATGCCACCCTGCCTTGGAGCCAACAGATTATAGATTGAAACCCCTATAAACTGTGAGCCAAATAAACCTTTCCTCCTTTAACTTTGGGTTTCAGGTATTTTGTCTCAGCAGCAAGAAAAGTAACTAAGACAGTTCATCTAGCAAAACAGACATGAATGTTTGAATATATACAACTGCGACTAGCCAGACTTCTTTTGGTACCAGGGGCTTTGCACTGAGCTATGTCTTTAGCCCTTTTTAATTTTTATTTATTTATTTATTTATTTAATTTTTCCCCCCTCTTTTTAATTTTTAAAGATGGGGTCTTGCTAAGTTTCCTAGGTAGGACTTAAACTGGTGATCTTCCTGCCTCATCTTCCCAAGTGGTAGGATTAGAGGCATGTGCCACCATGCCCACATACCCAGACTTTTTAAAGGCCACTGTCTGACCATATGGACCAATCCCAGAATGACAGGGCCCTTTAGCCCTTCTTGCCTACATTTGGCTCCTTAGTTTAGGTGAACAAGATTAGTGATCCCTCACGGGTTTTTTTTTTTGTACCAGGGATCGAACTCAGGACCTTACGCTTGTGAAGCAGGCGGTGGAACCACTGAGCTAAATCCCTGGCCCTAGTGATTCCCTCATGTTTGGGCCAGAATTTTGCTTTAACATGTAGGGTGTGGCTCAATATGAGGCTCTACATTTGGTCCTGAGTGCTCTGCCCGCCGCAATACTTTTTTTTTTTTTGAGACAGGATTTCACTGTGCAGTTCAGGCTGGCCTTGAACTCACTATGTTGCCCAGGCTGGCCTCAAACTCATGGCAATCCTCCTGCCTCAGCCTCCTAAGTGCTGGGAGTACAGGTGTGTGCCACTATGCCCAGCTTGAACACTTTAAATAGATGCAGATTTTTGTTTTTTGTTTTGAGATAGGGTCTCGGTATGTATTTTAGGCTGGCCTTGAACTCACTATGTAGCCCAAGCTGGCCTCAAACTCTCTTGACAATCCTCCTGCCTCAGCCTCCCAAGTGCTGTGATTATAGGCATGCACCACCATGCCTGGCAATAGATGCAAATTTTTTGTAGGTACATTATCCTAAATAAAGCCTTGATTTTTTTTTTTTTTAAAGCAAAGTTCTGGTCAAACATAAAAATATATAATGAAATTAGAAGTAAACAAAACATGCCACAGGGGCTTTAGAGAGAGGTGCTGGAAGTGTCTGGTGGGGATCAGCAGTTAGATGCTGGCAGGGCATCTATGCACGGCCACCAAGGGCCAGAAAGGAAGTGCCCAGGTGTGCTGGTCTCACTGCAGAGGGACACAGCCAGGCCAGGGATACGGTGGAGGGCAAACCTTGGGGAGGGACAGGAAAGGTGGCCACTGAAGGCTGTGTACAGGAGAAGCCTGTGCCTGCCTGCCTGGGAAGCACAGCTCACATCCTCCTTGCTGTAGCCCCTCTCGGCCATCATCCCTGGCTGTCTGGACCCACAGTGCCAACTCCTCGCATGATTCCTGTTACTTCCTGTCTTAAACTCCTGACATAATCCCTGGCCTCTGTCACAGTCCCAGACACCTGCCCTCCCAGTGATTTTGGGGAGGGGACAGGGCACCAATGTCTTCAAGGGTTTCAAGATGTTCTCTGTGATGGTCCGCACTTTTGAAAATAATCTGGGCTCTTGAGAATGCAGGTGTGTAGCCACCAACATTGACTCAACATCTCTCCACAGCTGTTCTATGATTTTCTTTCTCTACTTTTCTAACTCTATCTATCTATCTATCAATCTATCTATCTAATTTTTGGCTCTAGACCTCAAACATGGGCCTTGCACCAAGTGCTCCCCAGCTGAGCCACGTCCTAGCCTTTGGCAGCTGCACCCTGATCAGCTGCCAGGAGAGTCCAGCCAGGGTACAGCCCACACCATCTTCTGTGGTGAGGTAACCCTGTGGGCCCTGTGATAAGGGAGAGGGCAGACCCAAAGTGTGGGCCCAGAGGGGCTCATGGTCAGGCCAGGGTACCTCCAGGTGGCTGGGCAAACTGGAAGACGTGCACACGAGTGCCAGTGCTCCCAGCATCAAACATGATTCCATAGAAGACCTCGTGAGCACGAGCAGCTGATCCCGAAGAGGTGTGGGCTGCCCCAGTGATGGAGGAGAGGGCCTGGGGGGTGGAGGGCTGGTGCCACTTGATGTAGGCCACGTAGATGAACAGGCCTACGCACAGCCCCACGGGGTACACCACTTTCATCATCCGCGGGGCCCCATAATTGGATATTTTTCTCATTTCTTAGTCTGCCCAGGACTGTGCTGCAGCTGCAGGAGGGAGGGCAAGAAAACTGTGTTAGGCTGAGAGGTTCAGTGTGCATCCAGAGTTGCTGAGTCCAGGGACAATATGTTCAACTGGAAACTGGGCTGCATTTCTCTCCTAAGTCAGAGGCTTCATTTCATCTTGCACTCAATCCTGAAAGAAGCAGTGGAAGCTGAGAGTTAAAACACTGGTAATCTGTACATGCTTGCAGTACAGACCACAGCTGATAAACTGGCAAGGATTTCTTTGATAGGACACCAAAACACAGATAATGAGGGGTTGGGAATTTAGCTCAGTGGTGCTACCGCCTGCCTCGAAAGCATAAGGTCCTGAGTTTGATCCCTGGTACAAAAAAAACCCCCCAAAACCAAAAAAACACACAGGCAATGAGGGCAAAAATGCAACAGTGGGATTACATCAAACTAAAACGCTTTTCCAGGGCCAGGGATTTAGCTCAGTGGTTTCGCCGCCTGCTGCGCAAGCCCAAGTGCAAGGACCCGAGTTCGATCCCCAGTACCAAAAAAAAAAAGCTTTTCCACCACAACGGAAACAACCAACAAAATGAAAAGGCAACTTACAGAATGGGAAAAAATATTTTCAAACTATATATCTGCACTGGTGAGGAATAAATTTTTTTTTTTCTTTTGGTACTAGGGATCGAATTCGGGTCCTTGCACTTGTGAGGCAGGGGGCGGCACCACTGAGCTAAATCCCCAGCCCAGGAATAAATATTCATAAAGAATTCAAACTGAATAATACCAAAACACAACCTGATTAAACAAATGCCAAATGCATGAGGTCTTCAGTTTAATCCTCAGGACTCCACACAACAAAAGGGAAATATATTTCTCTAAAGATGTGCAGATGGCCAAGAAGCATATGAAAAGATGCTTCAACATCACTACTCAGTAGAGAAATGCAAAACCATAATGTGATTCAGTCACATCCATTAGGATGGCTACTACCAAAAGCAGCAATACCACCATCCAGAATATAACACACGTGGGTGAGGACATGGAAAAAGTCTACATGTAAAATAGTGCAGCTTTCCCCCAAAATAAAAAAACAGAATGACCATGTATCACAGCAATATACTTCTGGGTATACAGTATATCCAAAGGAAGTGAAACAGCATCTCTAAAGCCTATGTGCATCCCCCATTCGCTGAAGCACTGTTCACAAAATCCTAGAAGTAGCAGCAACCCCGATGTCTGAAGACACGTGACTGGAGAAGAAAACGTAGTCTATTCCTACAATGGAACACTATCTGGTCTTAAAGAGAAAGGGGCTGGGGACAGAGCTCAGTGGTACAGCCTGAGCTTAGAATATGTAAGGCCCTGGGGTCAAAAAAGTAAAATAAAAATAAAAAGGAAGAAAACTCTGACATAGGCTACAACATGATGAGCTTAGAAGGTGTTCTGTTCCAGTAAATCAGCCAGCTTCAAAAGGACCACACGGCAGGGTTCCCCACAGAAGAACAATTGGAGCAGAGATACCTGGGCTAAGGAGGGTAGGGCAGGAGGACTGGGTATGGTCTCCACATGGGAAGATTACAGAGCTCTAGTGTGCGTGGCAGTGACGTTTGCATAGCAACTGTACGTACTGCACCAAAAAACTGCACACTTGGGAGTAGTTGAGATGACAAATTTTATGTTAAGTATATTTTATCACAAATCCTTCATGGATAAAGCCAGACAGGGAACATGGAATACTTCTATGAATAGAGGACAAAGGCAGTGGGGATGGGATGCAGAGGAGAGGCTGCCTGTCCCTCAAATTAATACTCTTTAATGTCCTAGTCACTCTCAGCCTCACCTCAACGAAGATGACAGGCTCTGCCTTACTAGGGTTCTTCTCACCTTAAGTGATTTTTAAGGCTTTTTTGGGGGATTTTTTTAGCATCCTGCCCTTTGGTCTCTTCTTCACACCTCCGCAAGCCCCAGCCCCCCAGGCCTCTCCCTTGGGATGGTGGTGCTCTACAGGCCCCACCTCCTGGATGAGTGACCTGTGCAGCTGTGCATGGGGACCTCTTTCCCCCAGTTGGAAGGTACCTCTCTGGGAGAAGGGGCAGGCCCCCATTCTGGAAATCCAGCATCTATGTGGGAGATTGCACTTGCCAACCCAGAGCGCAGCAACCTGCCCAGCAGAACAGGAAGAAGTGAAAGAGGCACTGCTGGTGCTCCAGCACCTGGGTGATGGCTGGGAAGGGGCTGTGTGGCAAGAGGCACAGTGAGCAGGACTCCTACATGCTGAGTGTGATGTGACAACAGGACATCAGTCAGCATGGGACCAATCCTTGTGGGAGATGTCAGGCTGGAAGGCAGTGCCTGGGAATGGCTGGTACTAAGGGATGTTAGCTGAGATCAAGAGAGACACACAATGCAGCGAATGCTATCTTGAGGAAGCTGCTGTCACTCTGCAGCCACCTCTCTCCCAGGCCTCCCCTCCTAGGTTACAATGACCCAAACTTTCACATATGCTCATTAAAAGTGGACCTGATATTTACAGAGAAAGTTCTGAAGCGGTTAACTCCAGGGATGAAAGGCGAAGACACAAAGCAATACTGACACACCTTGTAGCCATGAGAGTGCATTATAAAACCTGCCACATAACCAGGTTTCATCCTGCCAGTGCCGGGCCAAGTACTACGTGCCACAGGAGCAGACTGACAGATGTTTACCAGCTCTCAGGCAAGACTGGTCTCCATTAAATGTCTCTACTCACTAAAACCCCCAGATGTGCCATCTCCTGTCAGGAACCCACTGGCCTGTCATTGCCTGGTGTTCTTCAGGACACTCAGGCCCTGGAGTGCCTGGAATGGATGTGCCTGGGACTGTGCAGTGACATGTGCAGGGCGGATGAGTCCTTGACTTCTGCTTCCAAAATGATGGTGCTCTGTCCCTTCATATTCCTTAGAAATATATGACAGCTTTAGACAACCAAGCCAACACCCACAGGAACTTAATTATTCCTAGTGTTACACACCAGCAAGAGCAGGACAACATCAACAATCCAAAGAAGACTCGGAATGAGGAAGTTTAGACAAAAACAGTTGGGTTCACACCAAGGCCCAACGTGCACACCAATCTCACTCCAGAGTAAAGGGGTTCCTCACAGTAAAGACACCTGAAGGAGGGCAAGCCACACTTCCGTGGGCCCTGGGGGTGCTCAGTGAGGAGAAGACCCTCCCCAGAGACTTGAGGGTGAAAATAACTCAGGTGTAGTATTCTTTACTGCATCAAGGAGTGAGGCTGCAGGCAAGAGGCCAGGCAGGAAGTAGGTGCGGGTTTGCAAACAGGGGTTTGGCTTTGGCCACGGTCACCCTTTCAGGTGGGGCAAGAGTCAGAGGAAAGCTGCGTGGGGGCCAGTGTGCTCCTGCCCTAAACCAGCTAGCTTTCTAGGACCTGGGATGCAGGCTGGTTCTTAGAGATACATGCTCCAGCTCATTCTGACTGGTGCTGCCCAATATGCTGGTCAGTTTCTTCCAGGTTTTCAGTTCAAGTGTAGGAAAGGGCTGTGATGACAAATGACTGCCACATATATTGACAATGTGTCCAAAAATAAAGCACATTAGAAAATCTATACTCCTTTTCCTGAAAGATGTAAAAAGACTTTTCTTGGCAAAAACCCATTCTGGATCAGCCCAGTCAACACCACCTGTTCTCTCCTTTCTTGGGATGCCTGGGAGGCACTTCCAGAGCTCGCTGCAAGAACATCTCCCTGCCTCTTGGGTCCCACACAGGGCTCCAGGAGGCAGAGCAACACACACACTATCAGCCACTGACTGCAGGGCAGGAGCAGAGGGACATAAGCAGTTCTGGGCTTGTAACAGTATGTTTGCCAGCTTTTCCAAGATGCAAAAACTGTTAACAATAGCGACACCATTCTGTCACTTCCCCAAAATGCTACTCCTTGGCACAGTGAACGCAGGGACAGCCCTGCAAGGCATTCAGCACCCACCTCTCCTCAAAGATGCTCCTTCCAGAGGTCTGAGAGTCTACCACCGACAGCTCTGGGCCAGAGGAGCCCTGCGTCCTGTAGCAAGAGGGCGTGTGGCTCAACACAGACATCCTGGGACACAGGTGCCTGGACAGACACCAGGGACTTACCGCGGTCGCCTGCAGGGGCTGATTCCAATGGATGGCACCCAGGGAGAGGCACTGCACCCAGCGGGACCCACCCAGCGATGCAGGCTTTCTCTCGGATCCCACTGCCATACCATGGCTTCCAGAGATAAAACCTCCCCTCTCTGGACCCGTCTGTCCCTGGCGCCCATTCTTCTTGCTGCGAATGCATCCCACGGAGCGAGTCTTCTCAGGTTCGTTCTATCCACCTCGGCCCGGGCCAGCTCAGGCAGAAGCGCCCGCCCCCTCGCACTCTCCTATCACCTCCCCAGCCCAGAGTGAACTGTACCGGTCCTCAGCCCTAGGGACGCAGGGCCTTTCCCTGCCTAGCTGAGCTCCAGGAGGGCGGCCCGCCGGTCCCCAGCACCGCACTGGGTGGGTCAGCAGCGCCGGCTGAATGAATGAATGCGTGAAAGACGGAGCGAATAGCAGGGACGCCCGGAGGCGGAGCCGGACGTCCGGGGAGGCCCATCACAGCCAGTGGAAGGAGACCCACGGGCACCTGGAACCGGCCCGTCCCGACCCTCCCGACCCTCCCGACCCTCCCGACCCCTCCTCGGGCTACGCGCGCTCACCCTGCTCGGCGCCCTAGGCGTCCACAGCGGCCCACAGAGGAGATTCCTGTTCCCGCGCCGCGGCCGGCGTCACCTCAGCTCTGCACCCGACGGGACCCCGCGAGCCGCCCCCGCCCCCGTCGCGTTACTGACCGGGCGGGGCGTCGCCGACCTGATGCGCACGCGCAGTGCGCACGTCGCGGCCCAGCTGCGCAGGCTCAGGGCCGTGCGGGACCACAGGCTTGGGTTCTTCTGACTTGATTGCTCCTCGATGCGTGGAGCTGGTCTTTTGCCCGGTCTGCCTCATACCTTTGACCGACTGATGGAGGATCCCTGGGTCCTTCCACAGCCAAATTCTCGTTTTATTTCCAAGTGGAGATATGATCAAAAATGCAGCCACACTGAGTGGGCAGTGTGATCAAGTCTCCCGAACTCTTGACCCCAGTTTTTCATGGCTTCCTAGAAGCTGCCCAGGCTGCCAACTCCTAACTCCTAGAAGAGTTGGTCCTGGAAGGACCTGCCGAGTGGGGGCTCCTCAGGTGTCCCCCAAGCTGAGGCCCTTTTCCAGGATGCCCTCTCACTTGGGCTGCCACGTGACTGTGTCTGGCCAAAAAAGGTGCGCACCCACGTGACCACATCTGACCAATGAGGCGTGGATGCGTTAGGCCTGGCAGGAGTACCTCTCCATCTGCAGAGCCCTGGGATAGCATGACCTTGGTGGGTTTCAGAATCACAGCGGGATTACATGCTGTGGTCTAGACGGCTTTCTGGCAGTGATGCTAACCATATGGGATGCAGGGACACAGTGTGCAGTGGTTATGTGTCCCGAGCCACCCCTCCTTGTGGGTAACTGTCAATGGACCCTAAACTTTCCACTACATTATTTGCTTTTATGGTGCTATGTAATGCTGCAGGATCCCAAGAACTATTTTGTTTTTCCCCAAGAACTATCTTGGTGCACACCTGTGGGTAGATCTATAGGAAAAATTCTTTTTTTTTTTTTTTTTTTTTTAACAGGGTCTTGCTATGTAGTTCAGGCTGGCCTTGACCTCACAATGTAGCCCAGTCTGGCCTTGAACTCGTGGCGATCCTCCTGCTTCAGCCTCCCAAATGCTGGGATGGCATGGCCACGATGCCCAGCCAGGATATGCTCTTTTAAAACATCCTGCACTGGGCCTGGGATTTAGCTCGGTGGTTCAGCCGCCTGCCTTGCAAGTGCAAGGTCCCGAGTTCGGTCCCCAGTACCAAAAAAACCCAACCAACTAAACAAAAAAAACATCCTGCACAGATGTGTCTAAACTGTCCCGGGTCATTCTCCTAACTCTGCTGCAGACCGGGTGTAGGACGTGGCCTCCCCCATCTCCACCCCAGTTCTTTGGAGGATCTTTGCCAATCCAACACTTGCAAAGCTGTGTCTAAGTTTTAGTTTACAGTTTTTCTACCATCTAGAGATCTCTGTTCATGGAACAGTACAGGCTGGGCTTCTCCCTAGCTCACTTTTACCACTTCCTCATTTTCACTGTTTCATTCTACAGGTTCTAGAATGTATCAAAGTTTTGCACATGTGATTCACTGCTTGGAAAGCTTTCCCACCAGGTCTTGGTAGAATCCTTCTCATTCCTAAAGACTTACTCACCTGTCACCTGCTCGGCCACTTCATTTACCATAGCCTCTCCAGAAATTTTCTGTTGTTCTCTATTCATTTCCTTCATAGTACTGCTCACACTCGATGACTTGCTTATGGGTATATTCTGTTTCCCTGCTGAAACGCAAGCTCCTGGCACTCTGGCCCATGGTACCTGCGTCCCTTAGCCCACCTGTGACTTCAGCTTTCCAGTTGTGGTGGAGACTTCTGTGCTGCCTCAGAACAACTTTGCATGGCCACTCCAGGGCTCACATCAGGACTTCCTCTAGAGCCCCAAGTGCCCCTTCCCCAGGACAGCTGTGGCAGACCTCTCTGGGTTGCAGTGGAACAACCCTTTGTCACTTGTTCTAGAGAATAACTGGAATGTTCTAGGATGCAGCATCTGGAGGGAGGGCCGGTCAGGACAGCCTGGGCTCTGTTTCCAGCCTCCTCATCTAGAAGTGGGATGTCCTTCAGTGCTTCTGCCCAGCCAGTCTATATCCCCAGAGTGTAAAACCCAAGCAGGATGCCTTCCATTTTCCCCCATCAGCAGTGCAAATAGGAAACCCACAGCAGAGACACCATCTGCCCCAGGGATTCCTGAGCCTCTGGGGACCAGTGGACAAAGCCTCCCAGGCCTCTGCCATCTCTTGCTTCCTAGCTGTAAGCAAATCTGCTCTGGATAGAGTATTGTTCTGTCTCCCCAGACTCAGACAAATTCGTGACCTTTGCACAGTGAATCTACTTCACAGGAGCCCTTAGCCTGTAGGAGATAAATGCCTCAAACTTCCCAGAGGTGGGAAGGATTTGTGTTGGGTCAGTGAGGTTGTTTTCCCTCCTTCCTGGACTCTTTCCTTCTTTCTCAAACCTGCTGCTGAGGAATCACCTCCCAAATAAACTATCTGCTTCTAAGCTCTTGTCTCAGACTGACTTTGGGGAAACCTGAATTAAGATAATATTCAAAGTATTTCTGAAGGAATGAGTGGATTGATTATGGTTTGTCTAATGCTTTCACTTGTCAGCAAGAGGAGGCAGCTCAGCTTGGCAGGTGGGTGATGGGACAGTCGGCACCTCTACCAGAATGCAAGAGACAGGACAGATGATAGATGCTGGGCTACAGCAGAAACATGGGCCATTGCTCCAAAAGCATGGAACTGTGACTGGGCCTGATTTTGGGGTTTTTTTGTTGTTTTTTGGTGTTTTTTTGGTACCAGGTATTGAACTCAGGACCTTGTGTTTGCAAGGCAGGCAGTGACACCACTGAGCTCAATCCCTGGCCCATGGCCCTGCTTTTGAGGACGGAGAAAGTTTGCAAGAAGTAAATGAGTTTCTAAGCTGCCTTAGTTACCCAGAGTGACCAAGAGTGGAGGAAGCCCATCTGCTCACGCCAATGCAAGAAGATAGCTGCAAATCTGTCTGCCAAGTGGGACAGGTTCACATCCTTGGGATGCCCTCAATGGCTGGAGCTGCTGAACCCTAGGGCTTTCTTTTGGCCAGAGAATGTCCAACAACCGAAGTGCTAGGCAATAACCCTAGAAGCAGCCTTCAGCCAGTGACAGGAATAGAGACCCTGGCCCTTTCTCCTCCAACAGCGCAGTTCTCTGACTTGTCCACACTGAGAATGGAGTCTCCCTGGTCCTGTGTGCAACTGTATTGGCTTTTTTTCCTTTCCTCTGCTGCTGTTAACTGGGGTCACCTTCCAAATAAACTTATGCCCAAATGCTTTCTCAATATTTGTTTTTTGGGGGGCTACTCAGGGTGGTTTTGATAGTAAACTAAGTAAAACATCTTAGTTGCCTCTCTCATTTCTTCCCCTGGTTTCTGAAGTCCCTAATCACAAACTATTGGGTCTCCAGACAAATCTGTTCTCTTTAGCTCTCTGGAATAGCGGGAGCCTCTTTGTGCATGGCTAACTTTTCATCTTTCAGAGTCTAGCACACATGTGAAGAATGGGAGGGAAAATTTGTGCTTGTCAAAGGGAGGTTGATCTTTACTATTCCACCTGCCACATTGTCCATTACGTGGTCACTTTAGGTGCTGGTGGATGGTCTGGTGAGATCACTTTTTGCTGTGATGATAATTGGGTTGAGATAGGAAGTGCAGTTGTAGTACAGATGAGTCATGTTCTGGGTGCTTCATGAAGTATCCATGTCAGGAGGGCAGTGTGAATGAATTGTCCTGCTGATTTGCCAAGTCTCTCCCCAGAGGCCTTTAACATTAAGTATGATGCTGCTGTAGATCAAGAAAAAAATATTTTTTCTAGTTTAAGAGTTTGTTTTTTAAGTCACTAATGAGTATTGAATTTTATTTTGTGCATTTTATCTATTGAGACAATCATATAATTTTGCTCCATTCTAATGTTGAATTACTTATACTCCTGATACAAAGCATGCATTTTCTTTATATAGTGTTAGATTTGGTTTTCTGATGTTGGGTTTAGGCAGTTTGCTTATTTGCTTAGTTTCCTTTCCTCCTCCGGTGGTGCTAGAGATTGAACCTGTGCATGTTAGGCAAGCACTCTACTACTGAACTACATCCCCACCCCTTTTCACTATTTATTTGTTTATTCTTTGGTACCGGGGATCAAACTCGGTCCTTGGCAGGCAGCGAAACCACTTAGCCAAATCCCCGGCCCTCTTTTCACTTTTTAATGTGAGACAGTCTTACTATGTTGCACAGGCTGGTTTCAAACTTTTGATCCTCCTGCCTCAGCCTCTCAAGTACTGGGGTTACAGGTGTGCACCACCATGCCTGGCTGAAACTTGTAAATTGTGTTTCTGCCCCTGAACAAAGAACTAACTTTTAGCTTTGTTGAACTCCATAATGCCTTATTCTATATTTTAAAATTTCTTTCATTTTTATTATTTCTTTCCTTGTACTTTCTACTTTTCTCATTTTAGCCAAACATTTATTTCATCAATTTTCAGCTGGTCTTTTTTCTAATAAACACATTTACAGCTGTATGTTTCTTTGTAAGTACTACTTTTTCTCTGTTCCACAAATTTTACTGTAGTGTATCTTTGTATTGTTAGTTTGAAGCATTTTATAAATGTCATTAGTATGTTTCTGTGTTCCAAATGTTATTTGGAAATGTGTTTTAAATTTTTTGAGTTAAGATTGAAGTGAACCCTTTCATTGATGAGTTTCTCATGGTTGCCCTGTGGTCAGGGAACGAACCTCATGCTGCCCATGCTCAGGCACTCACTGAGCCCTTGTCCATGTCCACAGCCCTGTTTCTGGCTGCTTAATGCAAGTTTTCCATGATGTTGGGAAGAACATGTAAGCTAAGTGCCTGCTAGGCCACTCTGTGCCCTGTCATATTAAGACTACCGTGTAGAGCCACACACACCTGGCCCAGGTCAGAAGCCGAAATTCTGGGAGGGCAAGAGGTGTCTGTTTTCTTCTTCTTACCCTTCTACATGGTGCCCAGCACATAGAAAGCTTCGATAAGTATTCATTACACCCATGAATCTACGAATGAAGAAAAGATGGCTCCTTCCTCAGCCTACCCTCAAAATTTAGT